CATTACAGAGGAGCAGACTAAGTATGTCACATAATACTGTGATTGGTTTTGCTTTGGAGCTCTGGATTATACTTATTTACCTTGACCTCTTTGGAATAAAAAATTTGTAGTAATGCGCTACTTCTCCATTTATCACAGAGCTCCACCACATTAAAACTCCCAGTCATGTGGAGCTTTGTGACAAGATCATACACTACACAACAATACAACTCTAAGTAATGTGTCTATTGGTGTTGATATAGATCCAAATATTGATCTTTGTTATATTCAGAGGAAGCCAAATTATAATTACAAGTGCACTTGGAATGGAGTGCGAATTAGACACCAGACACCTGTTGGTAGTCAGAATAAGCCTCTGTCGTTTATTCTTCAGTTGGGTTTTTATACATTAAAGGACCACTATAGGCACCCAGACCACTTCAGCTTAATGAAGTGGTCTGGGTGCCTGGTCCAGCTAGGTATAACCCTTTTTTCTATATATCAGAGAAACTGCTATGTTAATAACAGGGTTAATCCAGCCTCTAGTGGCTGTCTCATTGAGGCTGGATTTTCACAGTGAGAAGACGCCAGCGTCCAAAGGAAAGCATTGAGAATGCTTTCCTATGGACTGGCTGAATGCGTGCGCAGCTCGTACCACGCATGCACATTCAGCTGAGGAGGAGGAGAGTCCCCCGCCCGGCGCTGGAGAAAGAGGTAAGTTTAACCCCTTCCACCCCTAGAGCCTGGCGGGAGAGGGACCCTGAGGGTGGGGGGCATCCTCAGGGCACTATAGTGCCAGGAAAAGGAGTATGTTTTCCTGGCACTATAGTGGTCCTTTAAAAAGTAAGTGCTTACATGCAAATACTAATTGGAGGGAGTGAAAGGGTGAAAGGAGTACAGATAAGACATAGGGATGAACGTCATGTACATATAACAAATAAGTTCAGAGAAAGAGAAAGAACAGAATGATTTGAGAAGAGACAGCTCAGGTGGAGGTTATCTGCTCCCGGTCTTAAGTGTTGTTTTAAGCATCAAGCATTTCCGGAGTCCAAGTTAGCCAAAATATGACACCTATAAGCTTGAGCCTTGGAATCAAGATAAATTCTATCACAGTGTATCACCGAGCTCCCTAACTATAAAACACAGAGTAATGTGCATTTTATATACCAGAGTTCCACTGTAATACATCTCACTATAATATGATGTAATGTTTGTGTTGTCTGTGTGTGTGATATGTATGCTATGTGTTGGCTGTGTGTGATATTTGTAATGGGTGTATTAACTGTTTGTGATATGCTTGTATTGGTTTTATGTGATATTTGTGCTGGGTTTATTGGCTGTGTGTGATGGGTGTTTAATTCTGATAAAAATATGCATTTAGGCCTATGTGTGAATGCAGGTGTATATTTTTGCAGAGTTATGTGAACACAGTCCCACAGTCACATGCACACAGTTATACATATACACTGTCAAATCCACCACATGCACACAGTCACATACACAGGATCAGGCAGAAACACAAACACACATACATAGTTACAGGAAGATGTACACACTCACACACACAGGCAGACAGCCCACAGCCACACACACATACATAGTTACAGGAAGATGTACACACTCACACACACAGGCAGACAGCCCACAGCCACACACACAGTCTTACACACACACACACACACACACACACACTTACTTACATACAGACAGTCACACACACACAGCCATACAGCCACACACACAGCCATTCACACACACACACACCAAGACATCCACACACACACACACACACACACACACACACACACACACACACACACAGAGGCAGACAGTCACATAGAGACACAGAGACAGCCAGTCACAGACACACAGAGGCAGACACACAGACAGCCACACACACACACACACACACAGGCAGGCAATCACACATAATTACCTCTGTTCATTATGGAGGAGTGGAGGCCAGTGCAGCTCCTGGAGACTGGTTGTTTGGGAAGCAGGGACTCCTTCCTGCTTCCCCTGCAGCAGTTACCTATCACATGTAGCTCCGCCCATGCCATCAGTTTAGCCCCGCCTCCTCTGCACAGAAAGCTCCACCCCTGCTGCACAGAAAGCTCCACCCCCTCCGCCGCAATATTTTTTGTTTGCCATGTGTGCTCACACACCCCTAAGGCCGGCCATGTTGGTACCTGGGCCTGGCAGGGAAACTTTGGACCTTCTCATCTCCCCAGGTAAAAAATCTGTTCACTTTTATTTACTGAGTGTCAGAAAGCACTGAGTGCTGCTGGGTAGGGATGTGTGGCTGGCAACTCTGGTCAGCTGGCACTCTAGGCCAATCAGTAGCTCCCTCCACAAAAAGTTAAAACATTTTTATAAACCGGGAACTAGCAATTGGCTTAGAGTGTCAGCTGAACACTGGTCAATCAGCGGCACCCATGCCTGACGTCAATCTGCACTTCCTGACACTCTGTTTCAGAAGCCAAATACCTCTGAGTAACCTGGAGATCTAGAGCTGGAGGAAGTCTTTGGGGTTAAACCATTTGAGAGCGGTTTAACCCCTTAATGGAAAGAGCACCCAGGGGCCTCCTGGCATCATAGCATTTTCATTTAGATGAAGTTGTTATGATGACCAGAATTTTCCTCTAATTTGATTAAAGGAACACTATAGTGTCAGAAATACATACATGTATTCCTAACACCATAGTTGTGATAACGCTATTCACCCTGGCTTTATGTGATAATGACAATGCCCCTCCCCTTCAAGACACTGTCAAAAAGGGGCCAAGCATGGATGTCATTACAATTATGCCCCACACTGGAAAAATTCCTGCAGACGCCAATGCAAACAACTATGTGATAATAAATGGCTTCATATGATCACTATTCTTCAATAAAATACAAATTTTTGCACGATTAGTCATATTTTCAAAATCAATGCCAAAATTTCACAATTTCTGCCAGGGTATGCAAAGCATGTACATTCTGATTTTCCTATGTACTAGCCCAGCAGCTCTAGTGGCTGGCACATGCTTCTGACCTGTGTCCCTTAGGTTTGGGTGTTAAGGTAGGCTAGTCCTGACAGTTAATTTTAAGTAACCTTGTAAGATTCAAAACATTTGTGTGTGTGTGCACTGTTTCTTAACTCTTTAAGGGTGGAGGCAATTGTACAACAAAACCTAGAATTTGAGCTTTATGTCTATTTGACCATAATTTACCTCTTTCATGTTAAGAGAACCATAATTGTTATATATCATTTTGTTCAGGTAAAACAGGGCTTTCATTTCACATCAAATATTTATGTGAGATAGAGAATTTAATATGAATAAAATCTAAAAAGATTCGAGAGATTTTATTTTTCAAGTTCTGCATGACATTTTAACCCCTTAAGGACAGAGCTTCAGAAGCTTGTCTTATTCTTAACCCCTTAAGGATGGCGAGTATTCTATGCCATCCTTTTTGGGGTGGTCCTAAACGCCGGCGGGTGGCATAGAACGTCCCCGCCGTCAAGGGTACTTACCAGAACCCCGCCGTTCCCCCGACGGTGGTCGCAATCCTGGGGTCTGCCTGGGAGCTCAGGCAGACCCCCTCTGCCTGATCCGGCACCCCCGGCCATGTGATCGCGGAGTCCTTTTGATCACATGGCCGGACTAGCTGACTTATCCAGTGCCTGCACTCAGGCAGTCCCACTAATGCCTGAAAAAAAGTTTATAAAAGTTAATAAAAAGTTTAATAAAGTAAATAAAAGTACTTGGATCATTATATATATGATCCAAGCACTTTTATATGCACATACACATACATAAACCATTAATAAAAGTGTATTTTAATATTAATATTAAAATACACGCAGAATGACTTTATATATAAATATATATATATATAAATAAAAAATAATCAATAAATAAATTTAAAAAATTAAAATAAATTGAAAATAAAATTATATACCAGTTTTGATTTGTTCTAACTGTGTATATATATATATATATATATATATATATAAAATCAAAAAGAATAGTGAGTCTGGCACTCAGTCGTAAAGTAATAAACAAAAATGACTTACACCAAGGTGCAGCTCTGCACTGAGTCTATGAGATGAGACAAAAATGAGGGCACTCAATGGATTTCCAAATCAAACACGTGTAATCAAAATGTTGCCAATGTGGATCAACGTTTCGACCAAACAGGTCTTTATCAAGATGGCAATACAGTGCATATTATGAGTTTATATACATTCTGTAAATGAATAATAAGTGACTTACCCAGTGCAGGTGATGGGAGTGAATGGACGGAGCTCGAAACCCGGAAGTGAAACGTGCGTGATGACGTAATGACGTATCAATGTATGTAGTCATGGGAACTGTGAATTGTTGGAAGTGTAAGTGTGTAGCGGTGACCGAGAGTGCCAAGTGAGTAAAGTGAAGCTTGTGAAGGATAGATACACTGATGAAAATGTGAGCAAATTATAACTATGGTGTAGAACATCAAGCAATACATACTGGTGAAAAATGGTGGAACTAAGTGGAGAGTGAAGGGGAAGAAGCAGAGAAAAAGAGGAAAGGTGAAGAGAAAGAAGAATAAGAAGAAACAAGGGAGAAGTGGGCTACTGAATAGCAAAAAGAAAGTGGTGGAAAGAAATGTGAAGAGTATAGATGATAGATCGGTGCTAAGATCCCAAACAGAGAATACAAGATAGGGGCTGTATTGTGCTTTAAATGCCTGTTAAACATGTTTATAAAAGTAATATGACCAAACATCTTGAGAAATGTACATGAAAAATTAAAAGAACTAGACAACTGGATGCTAACTAACTATACTGTGTGGGTAGTATGGAGCAATAATAAAGAGTGTTAACTGTTTTGTTAAATACTATATAATATGTACAAGACTATGTTAAAAAGAGTTTTGTTGTAGAGGCTGCAAGGATTTTCAGAGTAGAGGGGGCCAGAGAGGAGAAAGAGGTCTGCCATGTATCCTCAGAAACCATTAAGGGGAAATAGATTTCAGCGTATGGGAAATTCTAGAGGTGAGAATGAATCTGGTATTGAAAAGAAGGCAAAGAGTGATACATTTGTAAAACCATGGGTTCCTTTCCATGAAATTAAAGATGAAAGAGATTGGTTACAGGAAGAATTGAACAAGGTGAAATATGAATTGGATAAGATCAAGAGGGCAGAGTTTAGGGTGGCTACTGTGGAAGACAGTAAGTTAATGCATCCAAAAGAATCCCTTGAGTGTTAGGAAATCCGAGCCCCCCTTGCCCCTTCTTGTAATTTCTTAACAAAATTGACCTTAGATCCTTGGGGGCGACCCACTGTTGATGTTTCATTAGGGGGTACTCAAGTACAAGCGCTGTTAGATAGTGGGGCAGCTGTAAGTTTCAGCAAGCATGTGAAACCAGGAAATGAGAAAATTAGAATTACAGGCATTACAGGTCATTCCATTGAAGCTCCTTTTGTACGTGATGTGGAAATGCAGATTGGAGAGGAAAGTTGGAGGTGTGATGTTGTATGTCAAGATCAAGACATTATAGGAGCAGATGTTTGTTGTGAACAAGGTCTGAGTGTGGATTTGGCTAATTTAAAACTGTTGAAAATGGAAGGGAATGGACATACAGGTCATGTATGGCACCCTCCTATGGAACTAGTAACAGCAACAGTGAAACCAGTGGGGGAAGTGACCCACCAACCCCAAAACAATATCCAGTACCTAGAATTAAAGGTCTGCAGAGTTGGTGCAATAAGTGCAAATTAGGAAAAAAGGTAATTCCGTTAATAATTGACATTCCAGTTTGGACAGAACAGCCTGTACCTGTTTATAAGATGACTATGTGTGGTGAGTTGGAAGTGGCTAATCGCACTAATCTTTTAAAGCAATTCCTTCCACAAACTCACTTAATAATAAAAGAAGACCAGTTCTGGAAAGTTATCAACCTCAGTTGCTGTGACAGATTTGGTAATGCTTGGCTTTGTTCCTGTGTACTAGAACCACTAGTCCAGGCAGATGGGTGCATGGTGGAAAACTCAGGGAGCTGCCCTGTTCACCTTCACAAACCCATAAATGGTTGGAAAAGAGTGGTGCACGGACAGGGTCCCACGATCTGCGCACTGGGAGTATCTTCAGTTCTGTGGCAGCAAACTATACAATGTAGGGTACCCCCAACAGGGTGGTGTGTTAATCTTACCTATGGCTCCATGAAAGTGGGCAAGGAGGTCATAAGAGCCAATATCCAACTCACACAAAGATCTATGGACGTGGTACAGGAAGATCTAGGAAATTGGAATTAAATGGCTCCCTCACTTTTTAAGAAAATCCCACCACTTAATGTAGATTTGGATACATTATTTAAAATAAATAATCGAAGGGTTGTGCAATTGCAAGAGCTGGTGAATGAAAATGTAGCTAGCCTTAATGATTTAACAAATAGTTTTCAAGAGCCCTGGTGGAGCATACCCTACAATACTTACACACACCCAGGATTAAGAACTGCTTCTGTAATATTTGTATGTCTACAATTTGTTTTAATCTGCTCTCTATTCATTTTATATTGCTGTTGGAGGAAAGAACTAAAACAAATCCATACAAAGCAGGAAAAATTAGAGCTCACATCCATTTTAGGGATATAAAATATATGTGTGGGTTTATGTCTTCCCTTGATTTTTTTTTTAATATACATAAATCAGAGTGGGTGGCAGGGTTGTATGTGAATAATCTCCTTATTAGATCTTATTCAAGTGGGGGAGTGTTTGGGAAAATATTATGTATATATCTGTTTAATATGTGCTTGATTAAGTCTGTGTGTATGGGAGGTCAGGAATTATCTTCAAAGGGAGTTTCTGTTTAGATAGTTGGAAAGATACAGCACCTGAAAGGCACCGATCACATTTACATATCAACTGGTCTTCAAAGGAGTCTCTATCTAGGAAAACACACCTTAGGTTAGAGGCAAAGGGATGGCTGGGAGAGTTAACACTTAAATAAAATAACAGGATAGACAATACTTTGGGCCTTGGGAAAGTAAATCACATTTACAAATCAACTGAGCTGAGAAATTTGCTATTTACAACATGGGAACCAATTCCTTTAAAAATAGAAGATACTGACATCACATTAGATTAGGTTTGGTAAGACACATATGCTGCACACGACATCTCACAGCACATACACAATGCAGTAGATATTAGATAGATGGAATGTGTGAGTGTTATGAATGTATTGTAAATCTGTAATACTATAACTGTAACATTCTTCTTCTGTAATATTTAATTGGGCAGATTCTAAGTAAAGATTTCTCTCTGGTAAGAACTATGGTGTTGGCTGTTTATTTGTAATATCGGGTAGAATACCTTAGTAGTGCTAGTCATATATTTATCTGGACAAGGGGATAAAGATATATGTTAGTTCTTGGAAGAGGTGACACAGGGATATTACATTCACTATTAATGCACAACGCAGAGTGGATTTCTCTCAAAAGAATACCAATTGGAATTATTGGTGGTGAGAGAAGGATTATACAACATTGGTAAGTGAGGCTAAAGGTTTGTGGGGTTTCTGGTTTCCTTGTGTGTGTACAGAAGGTGAAGGGCCCTGGATAAGGAGAGACATCACCAGCTGCTAGAAGTGGGATGAGAGAAAGTGACAGGAGGTGTGAATGGGTTTTGTATGCATGGTCTAGGATGAGATCAATTGTGGGTAGGGGTGAGAGTAGAAAAATGAGTGCAAGGCATGAGATGAGAGAAGGGGGAAGTGAAGCAGAGAGGGGCATATGTAAATATGGATAGGGGATGAGTAAAATGTGTGTAAGGAGAGATTTGTATACTAAGGGAGAAGGAGGAAATAAAGAGGAGGAGAAGACAGATCATAAACTGTGAAAAAGTAAATTGGAAATAATTGGAATATCAAGAGCAGGTAGATATTACGTTTTATTGGTTAGGAAAGTGTAGGAGTGTACTAATAAGAGGCAATGTGCACAAGCCTCCATATATGAATAATAAAATATAAAGTGTGTACATTTTTGGTTGATTCACAAAAACTGTTATCATAAACATTAGTATCGGTGTAATGGCAAACACATAATTAGCTTTGTCTCATATATGAGTGCTGACAATCATGAGTTAGCGGAAAGAGCAGAGTTACGTTCAAAGCAATTATTGAGTACATTACATCATTTATGAGTATAGGTCACTCTTAAGTATCAGGACAGGTTTAAATCTCTTTTCCTGCAATTTTGGGATTCGTATGATCGAGGTATGTACCTCCTGGAGAAGAGAAAATGTATGTGTGTGGTGTGATAGCTATAGGGGAGGGCAATAAAGTGAGTTACCATCTCGTTGGAGTCCCTGTTGTAGGTCTTTTGTTGTGGCACGTGGTTATTCTATTCCCTGGGGACCATCAGGGTCTCCTGTATGGTCGGTCACTGTGATGTGTGTCCCTCAGTGTGTAGCGTGAAGGGTGTCATGTAAGTGGTATAATCCTGATGGTCTTATTAGGCATATTTCGTTTGTCATATGTTTGGATTGGGACTTGTTTGTCTGCTTTCACCAAGGTGCTCACCTCGCAGGGTGGTAGTGGAGTCTACTATTTGGAGCAGATGGTATATAGCAAATGGGCTCTATGGCCTGTGTTTGAGAGCCTGCGTGGTTCGTTACTATAGTTGGTTTGTGAGTAGTGAGCGTTCTGTATGATGTCTGAAAGGCGATGTAACATGACCTTGCCAAGGTGCTCACCTCGCAGGGTGGTAGTGGAGTCTACTATTCGGAGCAGATGGTATATAGCAAATGTGGTCTATGGCCTGTGTTTGACACCCTGTGTGGTTCGTTACTATAGTTGGTTTGTGAGTAGTGAGCGTTCTGTGTGATGTCTGAAAGGTGATGTAATATGACCTTGCATGTGTCCTAATGTCGCTTCTCCTCTCCATCCTCTTCCGTCTCCCCCTGGAACCTCCCCGCCCTCTTGGTTGTGCCTTTGTGGTGTCATTGGGGGGTTCTCAGGAGTGATGTACATTCGTTTGGGGGTGGGAAGTGGGTAGTACTCCGCCGTCCATCCCCCCCAGCCCACACCCAGCTCAAAGGAGCCAGTGTCTCCTTTGCCCCCGCCGTGAATGAGAACCATGCCAAGCCTCCGTGTGTCTGTTCCCCCTTCCTGCCAGGGAAGCCCGGAATGCTTCTGCTACTTGGATGTCCTTGACTCTTTGAATCCATTCCCCCCGCGTGGGGATAGCAGTCCGTTTCCAGTAAACTGGCACGAGGGATTTGGCGGCGTTTAACAGGTGTCGCAGAATTGATTTCTTATATCTAGAGATTGTTTGTGATGATATGTGTAGTAGTACAATTTCGGCCGACCATTCCGTTTCCTCTCCCAGGATCATCCGTACTTCCGTCTTGATTTGGTTCCAGTATGGGGTTATTTCCCTGCATTCCCACCAGACGTTTATCAGTGTTACCCTACTGTAATATTTATTTTGTAATACTTCTTTAATTGGAACTCAACTGCAGAATTTCCTGATTGCAGCAACAATAAGTTTCACCTCCTTTTATATTGATATGAAACAATGGTCACTGTACCTTTAAATACACATGAAGGAAAAATTAGGCTTTGTAGCAATCCCTTATGAATAAGAGGAATAATTAGACAAAGTGACACTTTAGTGAGCTTTAGATACTGTGTAACATAAATAATAGGAATTGGCTTGTTTGGTAAAAGTATTACTTAACTTAAAGGCAGTTCTGGCACTGGAAGGGTTAATTCACCCAATGAAGGAGAAATTAGAAGTCCGTTTCAACAAGCTGAGAACTAGGAGTGGAGAGTGGGGAAGTCCGTTTTAACAAGCCGAGGTCTGGGAGTGGAGAAGGTAGAATTCAGTGTTACAAGCCGAGGTCTAGGAGTGGAGAAGGTAGAAATCCCGAGGTCTAGGAGTGGAGAAGGTAGAAATCCGTTTACAAGCCGAGGTCGAGAAGTGGAGAAGGTAGAAATCCGTTTTACTAGCCGAGGTCTAGAAGTGGAGCAGGTAGGATCAAAAGTAGAGCAGCTGATCTTTCTGCAGCACCTGTGCGAATAATCCAGCCCTTTGAATCTGGCGCGGTCTTCCTAAGTATCGTGGAGGGACCGCGTCAGAAAAAAGGGGCGGGGCTGAGCGCCGTGAACCCGGAAGTGGGTTCCAGTGACGAAATACATGCCATGCTATACCTGACAGTACCCCCTTCT